TATTTAATGTCACTGACAAAGCTACAGGATATTTGATGTCACTGATAAAGCTACAGGATATTTGATGTCACTGATAAAACTATAGGATATTTGATGTCACTGATAAAACTATAGGATATTTGATGTCACTGATAGGGCTACAGGGTATTTAATGTCACTGACAAAGCTACAGGATATTTGATGTCACTGATAAAGCTACAGGATATTTAATGTCACTGACAAAGCTACAGGATATTTGATGTCACTGATAAAGCTGCAGGAATATTTGATGTAAATCGCTTTACATATACCTTTAAAGTAGCGTCTTTTTTTATGACTATTCCATCTTTTTTCTATTTTTATATGTCTTACATCATCATTCGTCTGTTTATAAATTCAAATAGAAATACTTCGTTGCACATGAAATCATCCATTCATATACAGAAGTACGTGTATTTTTATGTAAAAAAACACCTCTTCCAATAAATGAATTAATTGAAACTTTGGTTAAGCAACAATGTATCTCACTGAATTCTATCTGCCATATGTAAATTTTCGTCTCATCTAACGGCACGTATCATTCGAATATTCATGCATAAACTCACTAACCAAACTGAAGGGCTAATAAGCGGTACGATAAAAAACCGAGGGAGCAGCAATGTACGTGTATTGTAATTGCAATAAAGATATGGAAATATTAAAATGCCTTCTCAATCGATTCATATCTTTTCATTTCCTAACGAGCTTGTTCCTATTCTTGCTCTCGCATTACTGACAATGGATGATGATAATTCATTCTGCGACATGAATATATGCAAAAACTCTGCTATGCTCCCTATCCTTGTCTCTTTTTTTTTTTTTTTTTTGTAGATATTTAGCGTCTAACAGGAAATATTTCCTGTTTTAATAGCAATAATTTCTATTTTTTCTATTTCTATTTCAATTTTAATAGTAGTAATTTTCAATTCGGATGGGATTTGAAATTTTCAGTAGTGGCCATCTGATGATTGAGTTGTATGGCTTATTTTATTAGCATCCGAAATTATGTTTTTCTCATTGTCCATTTGGGATTATTTTTGCAGCGTGTCTCGTATTTTTGGTTTTTGTCATCATAAGAAATATGACAAGAAAGATTCGATTAAGTTTATTTTAAAAAAATGTCCAATAAATCCATCATTTATGATATAATGAAAAGTGCAAAATAATTCTCAGTATCATTAACGTTTAACGAATATTAGATACAATTTACAGTTTGTTTACGTTATATCTTACGTCTTTACAGCAGCTACCAAATGTCAGCAAAGTTGCAGAAGTCGAAATCCAAAAATAGACAGCAAAAAAAGAGGATTGTTTATATCGATGAAAATGCCCCAAAACGTCCCCGTACTGCATATGTTCACTTTGTTAAGTATGTTATTTTTCTCCATTTATTTACATATGAAATATCACGATTAAAGTATAGGAAGTATGGAGTACATATTGCTGTATTGTATATGATAAGAGTAGATATAAAAGTTGAAAATAAGCACCAGAAAAGATGAAAATTTTTAATTGCAGTGCACGAAGAAAAGAATTAGTAGACGCTGGCAGCCATGAGGCACTGCGTCAGCGTAGTTTTCTTGCAGACATTGGAAAGCAATGGAAAATTTTACCGGATGATCAGAAAAAGGTGAGGTTTTGATTTCGTTAAAAGTTTGACATGAATTTTTTGCACTTTGATACTTATTGCAAAATCTCGACTAGCTGACTTTTCCTGAAAGAATGAAATGATTTAAACATTAGTATCAACAATACTCGGTTAGAAAACAATGATAATCTTGAGATCTGATAAAATTTTTGGAAAAATTTGAAATCAAAAGAACAATTTTATCAGATTTCAACAGATATTTTTATGTTTCTTTGTGATTTTGCTCTTTCTCAGTTTTATTTCGACAAATCAGCCAAAGAACACGCAGACTACCAGAATGCTATGGAAGAATATAAAAAAACGGAGGCTTATAATCAATTTCAAGGTTTGTGATTTTCTTTTCTATATTTTCTTAAATACCACTTTAAATATGGTAAACAGTCGATATGCCGTCTAATAGCAAACGAAAAATAATCGTAAATAGGGCTTATTTTATTTTCTCGTTTTACCCTTTCTATTTTCTACATCATCTATGATTTATTCTTTCGTTTATTTATAATGAAATTATGTGCAGTATCCCAAGTTCTATGGACTGATTCTCGAATTTCATGCTTTTAACAGTGAGCAAAAAATGAATAGGAGATTCATTATTAAAGGACTGACTGTTTTTAAATGCTCGATTCTTTTTAACTATTATATAAATGAAATCATTTTTTAAAATATTTTCACAAGTTAGAGTAAAGTGAATTATTATTGCAAAAATGCTTCATTCTAGTATTTGAGATGAACCTTGAGTTTAGAAGCGAATCGAATTTCAGCTAAGAAAAAAGGATTGATGAAGCAAAGAATGCTGGAATTGAAGAAGCGTAAAAATGATGTGAAGTCCAGTGATGATGAAGTAAATATTTCCAAGTTAATGCTTGACTTTCCAAAAAGCACTTTTTCGGTTTTCTTAATGATTAAGATTTCAAGAGTAATTTAACGGATTATGAAAAAAAAAATTTTATTTTGAGGAAGAAGACAAAAAGGAAGCAGTTGTTGTGGATGACATTCCAATATTCAGCAAGGAATTTCTTGCCTACAATAAAAGTATGGTCCAAAACGTTCAATTGAATTTTAAATCGAATTAACAACAATTACGCCATGTCTTTTAACCGCTTTGTCGGAAAATGATTGAGGTCACAACCATGATAAAATTTTATTGAATTTATCAATGAACATTTTATTTATTGTTTGGATTGTTAACATTATTTGTCATTATTTAATATATCATATGCACTGTACACTTAATATTTTTGAACATGTCTTATCTTTTATCATATTTTTTTCTTTTATAAACATAGGTTAAATTCTTTTCAAATCAATTTTCTTTCTAGGTCAGGAAAGTAAATGCAAAAAATTGCGAAAAATGGTAAGTGCTCTCCAAGAAGAAAATGATCTCCTCAAAGCCGACATTGCCAAGTGGGTATATATATATATATATTTTTTTTTTCTTTAAGTTCACTACTGTATATTATTTTTTTCTTATCAAAGATTTACTTGTACGTTTTACAGTGGTTTACACAAACTGGTAAAAACTGATAGATAAACATAAATGCATTTAAATAAACCAGGACATATTGTATCGCATGGAAGACAACTAATTTTGATAAAACAAGATTTCTGTTCTATAAAATAAATTTAAAGTCACACTGACATGGGCTATTATACTGGACATACAAAAGCATTGGAATGATGTGGATTGATCTCTTTGATTAATTTTGTATCACATAATAAAACTTTGGGAGTTTTGATTTTCTAGGTTATCAGGGAAAATGAAATTAATATATGGACAGCAACCTGGAGTACAGTGGTCTACAAAAATAAAACAACGATGGACAAAGTTATTAACTGACGCTCTTGCATACGTTTCTGTTGATGGTAAGTCTGATTATTTGAAGCAGAAATTTTCGTTACTTTAGATGAACATTCATTATAAATTGAATTTCATCAAATATATTTGCGGGCATTTATGTCAAAACCTGGAGAAATAGTTTGGGTCCTGATAGTTAATTGTCATCCTGAACGTTTCGTAATGTCATTCCTGTCCAATAATTATTTTGTAGGAGAATATCCAACTTCACAAAACATCGATACTTATATGAAGAAATTAAAACAATTAGTTGCCGAAAATCCAAGCAGCAAGGATTTAATAGCGGTGCGAATGGCTTTGTCGGAAGTGAATTTTATGTGAATTTCTGTCAGTTATGTGTTTTGTTATTAATGTATAGTTCGATGGAATGAAATTGGATAAATCAAATTGAAAATTCTTCTCAATACATTTCTTTTGAAATATGACATCGATGTACTAGCAGGACTTCTCACTCAGTTGTATTTTACTAATTGTTGGATGTAAAATCTTTCCCTTATGTGATATTGTAATGTCCTTCATACTTACATGTATATAGATTTTTGCATTATGTACATGTCTTTGTTATAAACGATGAAATAAGTTCTGTCTCGTGACATTATTTTGGTAGGTCACATTCATTTATATCTGCGCTGATATTTTCACAAAAATTTCAGCTTTTTGCGTAATATCATAGAAAATACACATTGTAAGCAAATTGCAAATGTTAGCTTTTTTTAGCTTAACAGTCTTATCAAGTTTTCGATAATTCCCTTCAATATAAACTGACAATCTGCACTTTCCCGAACCTTATTATCTGAGGCTATCTGGGATTATCCGGGACTTTCGCTGCTTCTGTTGATTTCTTTCCTAGAACTGCAGTCTTTGACATTTTCTCTTCAGCTTAAGTCGTTTAACTCATTTTGTAGCGTTTGCTGCAATTTGGTAGATTGTGCTTTAAAACTGTGATCTGGCAGAGAGAATTCATCATTGCCGTTATTTTAATCTGCATTTACCAATATTTATTTATTGAAATAACGGTGTTTTCTTTTAAATTCATAATCCTACACCTACAATAACTTTACAAGTATATGCAGAACTGGAGGTATTAATATAGGAGGAACTTTTATGCATCACTTTCAGAAATATCGCTAGTAATTCCTTTTTTATCTCTCTTTTCATTTAAGGTTTGTTAGTGCGATGGGCAAAAAGAAAAAAGATTTTCCTAAAGTCAAGCTAAAAGTCGGGAGAAAGCTGAAGAAAACAACAACTACTGACACACGAATTCAATCCAAAAAAGTCTGTTTCTTTAATGTTTGGCGAGAAATTATTTCATTCAGCTTTATATCAGTTGAAGGACGGAACACGATTCTGTATTGCACATACATTATAAATTCAGAAAAGTATCTTGCCTAAGTTTCTAGGTTGTACTTGTGGAACAATTAACAAAAAGTGATAGTGTTTGCTTGTCACATCGTGGCTTGTCACTGGACGAATTATGTCGTCAACTTGCCCATTATAACATAAATGTGAGACGAGATTCAGTAATTGGTGTAAAACAGTTACTTTCTTCACATCCAGAACTTGTACCAAAACATTTGCACATACTAATACCCGCTGTTGGACGTCTGATTGCTTGTGATGTAAGTTTTACATTCAATTAAAGTTATTATTTTATAATGTTTTTTTTTCATTTTTTTCCCTCAAAAATTGTTAACAAAACTTAAATATGTGGTGAATTATTAAGTGATTTCAGAAAAGCGATTCATCATTTCATGCTCAGTTGCGTACTCTTTTGGAATTGTTATGTACAACTGATGCTTCGACGATTTCATCTCATTTCACGCTATTAATGGCCCATACTCTTCGAGCCTTAACACATCTCAGGATGGGTGTACGAATCTATGCACTTACCATTCTAACATTACTAATGCGAACCTATCCTGAGCTTTGTCGAAATAGCATCAATTTATTCGATTCATTCGTGGAATTTTTGAACAGTAAAAGAATTCCAGCAAACAGAAAGGTCCTTAAAATTTTTATTTCTGAAAGGCTTAAGTTTGATCAAAGCGAACTCAATTTTTTCTCTTTTTTTTCGGTGGCTTTGAAACACTTTCATTTAAATATTCTTACATAATCACTAGGGATAGGAATCACTCTGATTGCTTAGAAGAGTTAAGAGGAAGAAAAAAAAACATAATTATTCAAGAAAAAACATATAATTTTACAATTATTTAGCAAAGTATATTGTAAATATTTAATATAAAAGATGTCAGTAGTATGATCGATTCCGCAAACATGTTTATGCTGCTATATAATTGAGCTTTAATTCAATTAGCCTACTGATTTTTAGAAAGTTGGCAGTGAAAATTAAATTTTCAGTTACTACTTGATGGTGTTCATGCTTTCTTGCGAGCTTTCTTAGTAGAAGAATGTACGACAGTTGGACCTCTTCACATTGCATCGTTCAGCATTCGTAGTAAACAGTATACCAAGATTAATTTAACTTCAAATATTCAGCCGTTGATCGATTTTTGTGTGCTTGGTTCACAGCCACAGCAATTAAAGTCATCTCTCTATTCACCTGATAAATTTCTATTAGCACTATCCGGAATTCTATCACTGTTTTTAATAAGTGCATCAGAAGAGTCTTCGGCTAATGAGAAAGAGTGGGTGGAAATATTCGAAATATTAAATAAAGTAAGCATTTAAATGATAATATGCTAAATTAGAATTGATCATTTTAATGTTATTCAATTTTTTTGTTCTAAGTCGTTCCTTTTCATGTTCCATCCAGTGTCTGTTCAATATTCGAACGATTTTAAAAAGGTTTTACCGCTTCTAATTCAAAAAAAAATTGAGTTCGTATTTTTGAAAGCTTTACACTGCAGGTATTGTCAAAAATTCATACTTCATCTCAAACTGTTCAGTTCAAAGAACAATTGAAGAAAATATTGTCCAGTATCAGTTCTTTATTGAAAAATGGAAACCTATCGCAGAGAATACGTACTTCGTTGCAAACATTGAACCAACAATCGATCAATTCGAAAGCATTAAAGTATTAAAAGCACTGATTCTTAGTTATAATGATGAATAGTGTGTAGTGCTACGATTATTTTGCAAGAATTTTTGAAAAGAGAAACTTAGCTTTATGTATGAAAGTTTAACTTAGAACTGGTAATAAATACATTAGCGATCATTTGTTTGAAAATTGTTAAATATATTTTTATGATATGGTTAAATTCGGAGTCTTCTGATTGGATGATCGAATAGTGTGGCCTAAAAATTGTTGAGTTGTCATTCTGACGTTTCGTTTTCGATGAGAAGTTTGAATGATTATTTGAAACAGTGACGCCACCTAATATGCTTTTCTATATAGATCGATTTTGCATTTTTTTGTTGTTTTTATCATTATTTTGTTGTATTTTACTTCTTAAAAAAAGTAAACAAGTCGGTTGTTTTGGTATACATTTTTTTACTTGGCAAGATGAATACCGTTAGCCATTTTGTGTGCCACTTAGAGCTAAAGTGATAGAGTGACAATTCTATCAATACTATTTAAAGTTTATTCGAAAATCTTAGGATTTCATGATTACAACTAGACGTAGCTTTTGATATTGTCCAGGTTATTCTTCTCCGAAAATTTCGTTAGCACTCCGAAATTGTTTTTTAAACTATGTTAGGTATGTTTTTTTTTAGACGGTGTTTGCCTTAAACGATATGCAGACGTATTACTGAAAGCATTTGAGCTGGTTGACCGAATTTCTGTTTAATTGAGATTATTCATTGAAGTATGGAACGATGAAATAATAAAAATCTAACAATGACTAGGATTTATTTGAAAATTCAGTAAAATATGTGAGTTGTACACAAAATTCTCTAAAATTTGTTTTTTTAAAAAACTGCGCGAAAGATCCTGCTCCAGTTTTGCATTCAAATATTTGATTCTCTCTACTTTAGTTCCATTTTCAGTCTTAAAGATTAAGAAAATAGCATTATTTTACGCAGTGAAAACCCATATTAATTTGAAGAATATCCCTTTTATGCCTTTGATTCCCTAGATTAGACTCCATTAGACATCTTTCACCGATTGTTTCCGATCACGATTTTCGTTCAAGCCTCATACATACCGTATCTTATCGGACAGTCAACTATCTAATAATACCATTTCTTGATGTGTCATAGCCCAGTTAACGTGTTGTAAAAACTTTTTAGCATGAATGAAGATCTGAAATTTAAACTACTGTGCTTCCAAATTACTCAGTGTTGACCTTACTGTGACGAGGTTTATTATTTAGAATCCATCGAATCCTGAATGATACATTTTATGGATAATGTAATACTTCGAAAAGGCATTCATTAAAAATGGATATTTATTATTACTGAAAAAAAAGTGCCAAAAATTGAAAATGTATGAATAGCAAGAAAAGTTGATTTATCTACTTTGCTTGCTATTCATACATTTTCAAAAAAGATAAATCAAGAAACATTTGAATCAAATAAAATTTGTTGAAACTCGAATTAAAATGGAATTTAACTACATTAGGAAGTATAGATGATTACAGAAGTCAGTGAAATAGATAATGCAGTGAAAGACGCACACAATAGCATGTTCAACTCACCCAAAACTTAGTCACTGTGGTATGCACGCTTAAAATACCAATAATGAGAGAAACAAACAGAGTATCAACACAACATATTGATATAAATAATTTTAAAAGGGACCTGACGTTTATTAAAATTTGACTTTCAGGTTATTTCAAATTCCATTTGCATGAGTAATAGTAGAAAATTTCAAATAATGAATTTCAGATTAAGCCAAAAATTGATTGGTCGAAAAATCAAAATCATGAAGAGAAAATTTAGGGATTAGAGAGTTCAACTAACAATTTTACTATGCAGAATAAATAGATATTAAAAAGATAATAAGCGTAATTATCAGATAAGAAATTTTGTAACACAGAGCCACATGAAGAAGACAACTGAAGCTATTACCATCAAACAAAAACATGAGGCATAAAATTTCATAAAAAACCAGATCAGCTTCAACACAACATGAGCAACATGAAATGCCTGAACATAACAACCTGTATAAGAGGATATCAGATGATTTGACGCAGTAGAAGTTGTACTATACGACAAAATTAAATAATCAAGTTCATGATCGGACCACACCAGTGTGTTTTTTTCAAAGAAATTTATAATACTAGGGCACAAGTTAAAATTTAATATGTCGTAAATTTAATATTGCAGTGCAATCTAATTCTATATTCCCTAACAGTTCAAAACTTAAGTCGATACTACTCTACTCAAATTTTGGGTGAAATCCATAATCTACTCAAATTTTGGGTGAAATCCATTTTCAGTCCAAAATAACAGCCATCACTATCAACTATTCAAGTTGGCATTTTCAAAAATGTCTGTGTCAGCAAAATGTTCACTTTTACTCGAAATATCTTCCAGGATACCTATGCCGATTTCACGTCCACGTGCCTCTTGCTCCACTTGCCATTGCGCCAACAATAGATTTGAGTAAGTTAACGGGCTATTATAATACTTCACGTAATCAATTGTTTCAGCAGTAGGGAAAATAAGGTCGAAATTACCGGAACGATCTAATTCGTCTTCAAATTCAATCAAAATTCGTGCATCATAACCTGTCAGTTCATCCAGTATCCTTCCATCAATTTTCTATAATTTTTTTTGTTTTTTTTGAAAGTAATGTATCAGATTCCATAGGCTTTAAAGATCTACAATTTTTATTGAACTTTAAAATTGAGAATTTGTACATAGAATTAAAGTCTGGCCCACATCTCCTTATAATTTCTATTAGAACAAGAGATAAAGATTATTATTAATCTATCCATCAGAAGATCAGAGTGTAGAAATCTAAAAGTTATTGTCAAGTGAACAAATGAATCGCTCACCTTATTTCTCTTAAAATGTTCAAGGTGATGACGCTCTTTCTTTAAATCCTCCTCACTTTTATTACCGTCAAATGATTTTACGCGATAATCCATTGATAGCGTGTTATTTCTGCTGCTGAAACTTTCACAGAATTCACAATAAAATTTTCTTGACACTGAACAGGAAATGAGCACTTTATGTTATTTCATACTTACACATCTGGTGGGATCTGGACACCACAGAGATTCAGTACATCCTTTGCAAGTGTTGTTTTGACGGCTATATCTGTAGGTGTCGAACAGTGTAATGAAGGTGAAATATTTACCTGAAAAATGAGCATTTATGGAAATCTAATTGTCATATTTCTTCTGCCCAATATGAAACTTCAAATAAATGTTCCAACCTTGAAAGTCTTATATAAAAAATCTTTTTAGTAAAAAATGTAAAAATGTGCTACCTCTAACAACCACGGCCTAAGAGTATCGTCAAGTAAAATATCCATTCCATAAAGTTCATGACTTGTGAACGTATATAAACTGTGTTTTTTTTGATGTATTCGAATATGGCTTTCACAACTAAAACAAGACTACTTACTAATGAAGAAAAATTGAGGAAATTAAATTGCAAATGTATATTTCTAAAGTAAATTTTTGTTAACTAATAGTATTATACAATTCAGCTGTATTATTCAATTTCCACCTCGAAGTTAAACCAGTTCTGCTGTTTATTGTTAAGCAAAATATAAAATAGTAACACAAGCCACTTTCGATCTTCAAATTAACAATAAGAAACGTTACGAGAAATTTACGCAAGGACAGCTTTGATAATGATATCCGTAATCCTTTGTTTAATAACATTGACATCTACATGTTCAGCTATATGTGTCCAAAAATCCGACAGTTTCCATTTCGGCACAGGTGTTGTACGTTCGCCCGCTGACTGTGCCAATTTGTTGATACTATAGTTCGTTAAATGCATAAATTTATTTGACATTGAACTAAGCGCAGAAGAATAGCTGTAAATATATGGGCTATATTTCAAGTTTTAGAAATAAAAGAAAGATAATGAAGCAAAAAATAACCTCCTCTCGACTCACTTTAGTCCAACATAAAAAATTAAAAAAATTCTATAAAATTTGTTTACGAAGATTTCACGGAAAGCGAAAAAAAATTACGGGATACTTGCGAATCGAACGAGGCCATCATTGTATAAGTATATGCGCAGAGGATCAAGATTCGTCAGATAAACGTATAAACGTAAATCAAATTTTGCAGAATTAACAATTAGCGGCCGTTCAATGTAACTAAAAATTACATTTTCAGATAATTCATTAAGTTTTTAAAGAATTCAAGTTTCATAAAAAATTCTCCAAATAAAACTTACTGCTGAGCAACAAGTGGTGTTTTTTTCGGAATTTGTTTAATTTTGCTAGCAATACTGATGCCTGTCCCTCGGGCAGATGCAGGCTGTAATAAATAATTTTAAAGAGTTAAAAACAATTTTAAATTCGCTATCATATTATTAGATAACCCATAACTCTTTACGCTGCTTAATTTAACAACAAATTTTACCATATAAACGACTATAATGAGGCGAACATAAAATTCATCCACTGGATGTTTTAATTCGAGGTCAGCAAATTTTAAATTAAAATTTACTTAACAATAAACAAACGTGGATGAATTTAAAAAATATAGAATTCAGCGAAGTATACCGGTTTAAGTATGACGATATTAGGGGGGTTATCGTGCAGGTAAGCCTTCAATTTCTTGACATCCCGTGGCAAAACATAAGTTGTTGGCATGATGTGATATTCATTTAAGCCCCACAGAGCAATCATTTCATTTATGTGTTGCCAAAGACGATCCTTTCGTCCCATGTGAAATGCACCAGGAAAATGATTAACCTATCAGCAGTGTTGATTTAGACAGTTTACGACAGAAACATAACTTCAAAAAGTTTCTAATCAGAAAACTTGGGTAGGTAGAATAAAGTTAAACAATCCTGATCATAATTACACAATTACAATACTTTAAACTGCAAAAACAAAAAAAGACACCTTTTGATATGGTTTAATCGTTCGGTACTGCGCTGATTTCAAGTGCCGTCCCCAGTAACCAATCCAAAAGTTCGATTCATCAACTATAGTAAAATGACTTGCAGCAAGGCTTTGCCGCATAACAATAGGTAAAAGACTATTTTTACACCACATTAGTGTTGAGCGAATAGCTTTGCTCGGTTTTGTGACTGCAACCAAGTTTTACTTCAGCTCTATTAAAATTTAATTTACCTTAATTTTAAACAAGAATTTTTGTTGTGAACTGAAAAACGAAATTAACATAAGTACAGGAAAAAACCTTTTGACTCTTTACTGTAAAATCGTATTGTTGGAGGCACATTGGAAAATAAACTTGGACGGAGGAAAGGTTTCAAGGCGGGTGGCGAAGACTCTCCAATAGTACAACTGCAAGATCCAAAACATATTTTTTGACAAAAAATTAGACTAAACAATAAAATAACCTTATTTAAGAAATTTGAAGGAAAATTTAACTACCTTGTTGTACAGAGGCAATTTGTAACAAGGCAACTGAGACTGCATATATCGTTATCTTTCTCTTCTACAATGAAAACGATTATACAACAAAAAAAACTTTTTTCTATCAAATCCTACCAGGTTATCTCCCATATTTTTTATTCAGCATCACTGAATCATCCAGAATTTCAAGTAAGTCATGAAAACACTCCAGTCAAAAAGAAAAACCATTATAAATAAAAGAAATTAAAAGTACCATCTGAAGCGACAGATCTTACAGGTTGTTGTTCACCGCAGGAAGATGCTGGTGACGATGCCGAACAACTCATTGTTCAATACCTGAAGCAAATCATTTGTAATGATTCTTCAGAATTTAATACATTCTTGAACGCATATCTACAAAATGAATCTAACATGCATACAAATAGATGAAGATAAGAGACAGATGGATTCTTTGGAGTAATTCAATCCTGAATGGTGATAACTGTGAATGTGAATAATTGAAAAAAATTAACCGAACCAATCCAAAGATTACCCTGAAACTTCGTAATAATTCACTTAAAATATATGAAGCTCAGAAGTTAAAATAAATGAAAGACGAAAAAAAGATGAAAAAGATGAATGGAGTAGTCAAAAATCTTACTACAAAGTAATCACATTTCTTAGGCCCTAAAAATGTCGTCTAAAGTTACAAAAGTTACAAAAGGAATCAAACTAGGAGCTATTAGAAAACTACATTCATCATTAAGCGAAATTAAGTGCATATCAAATAAATACTCAATTTATTTGAAGACACTTAAATTTATGCTCGCTCTCATTTCCTTGCCGTCCAGAGTTATTCTCATCTGTTAGCAAAAAGTTACAGTTATTCTGAAATTCGACACAAGCAGGCATAATGATAGCTTAAGGGCACCTGTTGTTACGATTTTTTGTCACTTCCATATTTCACATTATCCTACAAGCTTTTAATTTATTCCACGTTTCCCACGTAAGTCATCCTTCTCGAATCACGTACAAATCATTCGACATGCATGCTTAAAAGCTTCAAAAAAGGAATAAAAGCGCGGCCCGTGAAAACTTGAGCAGTTAGTATATGAGGTTATGCTTCTGCTTTCATATTTCAGCATTCCGTCCTATTTTAATTCGTCATTTTTCGGAGTAGCTCCTGACGTCAATCGATCGATTAAAATCACTGGCATACTTCTTCATACTATTGAATATCATTTGATGGTATGATTAGCCCGAACTAATTTCAAAATTTTATTTTTTCAAGCTGTCAATTACCGAGTCTTTTTTCGCTCTCAACAGCTGCTATACTTATGAAAGCGTTCGACTTTTCCGATTTCTGAATATTATTAGATCTCACTTCCTCTTCCTTCAACAATTTTCTTCAATATCGTATTTCAAGAAGGAATGATGCTTTTTGTATCGCAGTTAAAGTATACAAATAATGGAATGTATCAAAATAACTTCCATTTGTATTATTTGCAAGCAAACGAAATGGCTGGTGCAACGCATGCTGGTTGGTAATTTTTTTTCCGATAAAAGAGTTTTTCAATCTTTGGTAGACGAGAATTTTAGCAAAAAAAGGCAAGAAATTGCAAAATCCAATTTTAAAAACTCGACAAATAATAGAGAAAAAAAATCTTAAAATATTTCTAATTTGCAGCTTTTATTATATTTGCTTTCGTTATACCTACAACCATCGCCATAAAATGTCATATTTATTTTCGTAGAGGAAAATCGGCTCCAAAAACCAACGAAACAGAAGATTGTGAATCAAGTTCTTGCTGTTTTACAGCTCAATTACATCGTGAGATGCTAAATTGTGATCTTTTGATTTTCCTAATCAATATCAATCTTCTAGAAAATAATCATTGGTATGTTTGGAGTGGAAAGAAACGAAAGCTAAAATAAATTGTGATTAAAAAAAACTTCTAGAAGCAGTTCTATAAATGTTACAAAAAGTTTCAGACAAAAAAAAATCTGACCTTTTAGACATAATTTTCAGATGGACAACATAGAATAACGTAAAATTTCATTCATACATATCTGTGATAAAAATTTAAAAAAATTTCAGACAATCGTCACATCTTCCAAATGAAGGGTTGTGATGCGGATGATGTACAGGACAATATGCTAATTTATGTTCCATCTCTTACTGGAAAACCATGGGAAAATATTATGGAAGCATGTCTGGTATCATTTTCTAAATATATATTATCCATTTTATGCATTTTTTTTAACCTAAAATTAGATGTAATGAATTTGTAGCATTGATAATGAGCAAACTTGCTTAGTTAATAGAAAAGAGGAAAGCTTATCCCATTTCATTTATTAACTTATGAAAAATTTAAGAAAATGCAAAAATTTGGCTTAGAGCAGATGCATAACAAACATTTGCAATGAATAAACAGCAAAAAGAATACAATCAATTAATCGCCTTAAGAATTATTTTTACCCTTCTTTTTGCTTCATCAAAAATTAAATTTGAAAATAAATTGGATTCATCTGAAAATCTCCCGCAATACCATAAGTACAGAAAGTATCGCTGTACTTTAGACAGAGCAATTTAATTTATAGGCGAGTGAATGCAGAGTGCATAATGATTTATTGGGCGGTAATGGTGAAAGCTATTTATGCGGATGTGATACTGATTATTGCAATATAAAATCATTTCAAGCTACATTTCCACAATTAAAAAATGTTCCCAGTAATCCTAAGACATCCAGGGCTAACATACCAAATGATAATTTACTTTGGATCGTAAGCGCAAGTACGATTGTATCTTTATATTTTTTGAATAACTATTGATTTTTCTTATTTAAAATGATTTAAATTATTGTTACAATAGTTAAATATGATTGCTAACTGTAATTTAAATTCACTTCCTGATAAATACTATTATTAACGATTGATACTTAACAAAATTCAATTCCATCTATTTTATTTAACCATTTTTTATAGGATTGAGATCGATCATATTAGATTTTGATTACAGTTATCATGACTTATAATCAGTAGAAGAGGAAATGTTGTCTATTAAATCATATTTTACTAAAGTTGTATAATTGGTTGAAAAATTCAAAAAAGAAAATTGAATCTGCAAACTGAAAAATTTAATTGTATAAAGACATGAATTAAAATAAGTTCAGTGACAAAATAAAATCGTACCATATTTCATAAGATTCTTAAAATCAAAATTTTCATATCTAATGCGAGTGAAAATGTGAAATTGATGTTAGTGATCACAATGTAATCATATATCAAAAAAGTTCAAGAATTAAACATATTTTGCGGGCCCTGAAAAATATTTCAAAGAATCAAAAATTTATCAAAATTATCAATCTTATGATAATAAATCTGACAATTTATCGTTAATAACCGTAGAAATAGTATTGTTCGCAAAGTTCGAGTCGAGAATGTTCAAAAACTTTCCAGTACTATCGATGTAGATTAAATGACCGTACGTAAATATAGCTGGCAATACTCTGACAAAAGTTTTTACACCAAATCTTTTAGATATTGCAACTATTTGTAGATTTAGTAGCTTGCGGTAAGATTTGAAATTCTGAAATAATTCCTAATACAAAACCACTACTTTCATCTATCGGTCTGCCTAAGCATTTTGTAAAAAAAACAGATTAAATTAAAAAAAATTTTTAACTTCAAGTCATTGCTACTAATAGTAATAAATGTTATGTTATTAATTATTGATATTATGCCGATGGTAGATTGTAATTTCTGTTTTCAAATTTTTCTTGAAAATTAATGTCATAAATTTTTTTTATTCGAAGTAACATCAAAAGGGTGGAGTATTTAATAAATTTGAGAAAAGCTTCCCCCATAATAAGTTTTAAAAAAAGTAAACGACAAGATCGATTAACATTTCATTATTAGTGTTATGCCCATAGAAGATTGTAATTTCTGTTTTCAAATTTTTCTTGAAAATTAATGTCATAAATTTTTTTTATTCGAA